CATCTGGGACTACAGTTTTCTTTGTGGAAAGAATTTTAACTACTGCTCTGATTAATGGTTTTAGGATTAGTCTATTTATTGGTATAAATTTTTATTACATTTTCTAGGAAATTTATATTTCATTTTACTTTCTGGTTGATTGTTATAAAGTTCTTCATAATTTCCTCTTATCATGCTTATAATATCCTCCTATCATTGTCTGTAGTATCTGATGTCCTCCTCTCTTGATCTGTAATGTGGTTATTTGTGCTTTTTTTCTTCATTAATCTAGCCAGAGGTTTCTCTATTTTATCAGCTTTTTCAAGAAACAAACTTTGCCTTTTTGCTATTATGTGTGTCTTTCCTATTTTATTAATTTGTGATCTTATCTTTATTATATTCTATTTTCTTTAATCCCTTCTACCAGCATTTTTTGGTTCTTGGAGATGGTGCCTAGCTCATTAATTTTAACACTTTCTGCTTTTGATTACAAGCACCCTCCCAGTAAATACTGACTGATTTATATCATACAAATTTTGATATATGGTTTTATTATTCACTTTCAACATTTCTAACTTTCCACGGTTATTTCTTTCTTTTAACTATGAGTTACCTTGTAAAAGTGTTTCCTGTGCTCATTTTGGCAACACATATAGTAAAAGTGCTTCCTAATGTCCAAATAGATAAGACATTTATAATTATCTTTTTGTGATTGATTTCTTAAAAATTATGATAATAATCCTTTAACCACGTACTGACCCCCAAGCAAATCACAATGTATGTGCTTAACAAAAATGTTTTTCCATAGACATTGAATGACATTTTATGCAAGTCCACTCAATCAAACTCATTTATTGAACTTTTAAAATTTAGTGTATCCTTAGTAATTTTTTCCTTGATCTTTCAGTTGCTGAGAGAGGTGTATTAATATATTCCACTATAATTGTGGGTTTGTCTGTTTTTCCTTGTGGTTTTATCAGGTTTTGTTTTATGTGTTTGGGGCTATATTATTTGTTGATAACTATTTGGAGTTATAGCTTCCTGGTGACTTTTACTCACCATCATGATATTACTGTCACTATTTCTATATATAGTTCACTTTGTATCCTGGAATATCTTTTTATTATGATTTTTCTGGTACATATTTTCTTACCCTTTCATTTCAACCTTCTGTATCCTCATGTTTTAGTGTCTATTATAAACATCATCACTCTGATTTTATGAGTTTGGTCTGGAATAGTTACTTTCATTTATTGTAAATACTGGTATACTTATTTCTACAACTTATTTCATAATCACTTCCTAGCCATTAATGACTTGTGTCTCATTTTTTGTTAATGGTAATATAGGGATACATATAATAGCATTTACTTTGAAAATACTGTAAGAATCTTCTTATAATTGAGAAAAGTTTTTCTCATATTATAAACTATGGACTTCTTTATATGCATACTCATCTTATAGTCATAAAATATATAATATGGATTACATGTATAATCTTAGAATAATGCTTAACACACAGCTATCTACTGTAAGCATTACTATTACTATTAATACTATTATGCTTGTAGTTCTATTTGACCTACCATTTCTAGTTCTTCATTTAGTTCTTTTCCTTTCTTATATGTTTTTGGGCAGATTGATTAGTTATCTTTATTCTAATATTGAGTTTCACTAGAAATTGTTCATGCTATTTTTCATTTTCTTTTTTTTGGTTTTTCTCCGGTACCGGGAACCGAACTCACAACCTTGCGCTTGCCAGGCAGGCGCTTTTTGCCGCTGAGCTAAATCCCCAGCCCCTATTTTTCATTTTCTTAATAGTCCCCCCAGAAATGGATATTTTCACAACAAAGTACCAAACCTGAAGCTTAAGTAAATCATTATCTCCCAGAACCTTTGAAATTGAAATCAAAGCACTCTATAATTAAATTCCAATAATCCTCTCATTCATGTGTTATTTTTCTGTATTTGTTAGATTTCCTGCCAAGTGGACCCTGGATGCTGTCTTCCTTGCTCCAGGTTTGTAAAGCTGGGAAACTACTACTCCTACCTTGGCAAAACCCCGCAAAGTGAAATGTGGCTTCAGTGCTCACTCACCTCTGGATTTTGCCCACATCCTGAGCAGAGTATTTCTTACTTTCTTGCTAGCTTTGTGAGCATCTTTTAGCTGTGCCATCCTGGATGCCTTGATGTCCCGTATTGATTCAAAATGTTTACCTTTCACGGTCATTGTGACTTGGGGGTAGAGTCAGAAGTCACACAGTGCCAGATACCGTGAATAAGGTGAATGAAGAGTCATGGTAACATTTTTATGAGCCTTCCTTTCCACTGTGCTTTGTAGCAGGATTCACTATAGCTTTGATCACACCTCGTAAAGACTTATGAAAAAGGACTTCCAGAATTGCTTTAGAAAGTGGCTAGAATGGTGGAATAAATGTATTTAAAGCAAGGTGGAGTATTTTGAAGGGAACATCTTTTTCTGTAATAAAATTTTTAAAAAACACTCACCATATATTTCGATCACTCCTGCATATGTACCTGAACCATGTTTCCCAACCTAATGCACCTTTGCTAGTGCAGCATTGCTGAAATCTCCTACAATGTGCATCCTCATTCCGAGATCAGGCAAACCAATACTTGCAACCCTAGAGAAGGTCACTGTTCTGTGGGAGGCATGGCTCCTTCCCATCTTTTAAACCCATTTTTATAGACATATTTTCATGCACAGAAAGTGTGTGATTTGGGTGTTTACACAAGTGGGATTGGGCTACTCTGCAACATGCTGCTTCATTTAAGAGCACATTTGGGGATCAGTCCACATTGAGGTAGAGATATGTTTTATTCCCTTTAGAAGCAGCCCAAGTAGGCAAACCAGCCTAGCTGGGAGCACCCTGGAGGGGTGAAGACAAGGCCTCCCTGGTTCCCACTTCTGGTGCAAGTGGACCTTTCCTGTTCTTGGAGAGACCGAGAGGCAGTTGGCTGTGCACCTGAGCACTGCCTGCCCCTGGTCCACTGCTTTGCAAGGTGCCCCTCCTTGGGGCACTATCACAGAAGACTACAGATGACAGTCAAGAAAGCCTTTCCCTAGGGGCTTAGGCTTGGAGTTCCAGGGCACTGAGAAGCTCTATCTGCTACCACAAGCTAAAGGGCTTCCAGAGGCCCATATGACTTCCACCTATTTGGCCAAGTGGCCTTAAGTAAGCCCTACCCAAGGCCCTGGGAAATTCCAGGGCCACAGGAATGCTCAAGACTGGTAACTACTGGGGCCCAGGATTGTTTATCATTCTAGGGACAAAGGAGCAAGATCCACACATTCAGGCAGCAGCAGAGTGCCTGGAGTTACTTTACTGGACCTGGCATTGGAATGGGTGTATGTGAGCTTCCCTCTCCAGCTCACTCCTTGGGTGGAACAGTTCTGGGCCAAGGCTTTGCACTCTTCCTGGGCCAGGAGCCCAGTGTCCCAGGGCCACTCAGTACCACCCCCTTCCCTGAATGTTCTCCTTCCTATGACATCACACACCTAGGGGTGCCCCTTCCACCTCCCAGACAAGCTGCTTGTTTGTAGGGACTCAAACTAGGACCTTGTCTCTTTTGTGCCTAAGCCTCTGCATAGAAGGCACATGTGTCCAGTGGTTCCATGCTGTTCTGCGGGCTCCAGGCTGGGAGGTGGCCAGGGTGGACTTCTGTGGGAAGCAAGACTGGCAAGCCAGATGCCAAAGCAGTGGGGGTCCAGGCCTGCAAGCAAGGCCATTATGAACATCTGGCATTTCAAACCGTTTGAACAGGCATCCCTGACCTGAAGCCAAGACCAGTGAGCAAGTGCTGCAGCCTGGCCCTCAGGTAGGTGCCTTGGGTGCAAACACCTCCAAGGCTGTGCGCAAAGCACCCTGGACAATGGAGCCCAAGTGCTGGCCATGCTGGGCAACACCATCAGACTCAGGACCCAAACTGTCCTTGAGAGACTTAACATCATCACAAGGGTGAAGTTTGTCTCCTTGGGATGACACTTCTGGAGCAGCCGAAAGGACACATGTGTCTGCCTAGCAGGCTCTGACACCACCCCGCCACTTCCTGCTGTGTAGTCTGGGTACTGGGAGACTTAGTTTCTCTCTCAGTAACAGTGGCAATACCCCAAGCTTGGTCCAAAGATGCTTAGGAGAGGTGAAGTGTCTGCAGCATGCCTGACACAGGGAGGTGCCCCTTGAATCTGTCCAGTGGCCCGGTGGGCACTTCACAACCCCCTTGGGAGGATGGAGGAAAGTTCTCTGCCCATGCTGAGAGCTCTCAAGGGAGAATTTTAGACCCTATGTATAAAAGGTCTCTTGTCAACAAAGTGTTCCCAGGATCCTATGACAATCCACCTGGTGACTGTCCGTCCACTCCCAGGCCCTGTGTGGGGTTGGGCTGGGACCCCCTCACACACTGTTGCCTTGGTGGCTTAGTGGGTACAATAGACCCCAGTACAGTAGCACCCAGGAGCTTTCAGCTTTAGCCCCCACTGTGGCGCTGCAGCTTGGGTCCCTTGCCCTCTCTGAACCCATTTAGAGCTGGCTCTGAATTCTGCTCCAAGAGCACCAGCCCTTAGACACAAGGCCCAAGGGCGCTTGGGCAGAGGTGGTGCTCTGCACACCTGGAGGTGGGGTGAGGAGTGTAGACTGCCCAGGCAGGCAGAGCTGGCCCTCCTGGGGTGGGGATGGGCGCTGTGGAATCCAAGTGCAGATCTCTCCTACACCTGCAGCTGCCCTGAGCATACTCCTAAGCGCTGCTGTGGAAGGGGAAGAAGGGCCCTATATGGAGCAGTCTCCACAAGGAAGCAGGAGTCTGAGGCAGCTGAACCCATGGTGAGTGCAGAGAGGACCACAGTGCGGGGACAGGGGTCAGGGAGCCACTGCATGTGGAGGAAGGTGACCTGGAAACCCGAGTCTTCACAGGGACAGACCAATGCAAACCAAGCCCGCTAGCCATGAGGCAAGGCAGTCCTTGTCCCCCACCCCCAAAAAATCAGACACAGTGAGGCAGAGGAGGAGCAAGGAAGGCCTTTATTAGAGAACAAGTTGCAAACATGGACACCAACACCCAGCACCCACACTCGGGCCTGCCGTGGGCAGCCATGGCATCACCTCCTCTGGATAGGCTGCCCACATGGCCTTTGGGAAAAGAAATGGCCCTCAAGGGACTCCAAGGACCAGGGGAGCATGTGGGAGGGTGCTGAGCCCATGAGGGAGCATCCATCCTCACACTTGCCTTTTCTTCCTATATCAAAAGGGGGGCAGCAGAAAAAGAGGACCCTCTGCTAATGAGAGCGGCACAGGGGGTTGAGGGTCCTGGGTCTTGAGAGCAGGTGTAGGGTTCCCCAGACCCACACAGGGCCTTGAATATATCAGGTGCAGTGGGGCTTAGGGAACAGCAGGAAGCGGGCCAACGGCCTGTCTGGGCTTCATGCCTCCAAGAGGACTCCCCAGGAAAAGGCAAGAGAGGGTTAGACAGTGAGGGTGCAGGCAGGAAGAGGAGATGGGCACTCAGGAGAGGACTTTGCACCCTTCGGGGGGTTGACACCAAGCAGGTGGCCTCCTGAGCCCCACAGGGACAGGGACCCAAACAGGCTCAGGCCTGCGCATCCAGGGCACGCACATGCACACTGGGCAGGCAGAACCAGGATGGCGGCAGCTCCTTACTCCTGCTGCCCTCCTGGAACCGAATGTGCAGAAAGAAGTCCCCTGTGTAGAGGAAGAGGAGAGCCCCGAGGCAGGCTGACTGACCTGATGGCTGCACCTGACCAGGAGAGAGAAGAGCTATCAGCTTGGACCAGCACCATCCCCCCCAAAGCCACAGGACACTTCAGAACCTGCCTAGACACAGGGGTGACAGGGACGGGGTGGGTCAACAGACCTGGCTCCTGCGCCCGCTCCAAAGCTTTTCTACTGGGCTGCTGGGGCCAAGTTGCTGCACCTCTCCACCTGTTTTCGTCTTTGAAAGGAGCTACTGACATTTCTCCCTGCTGAGCGCCCATCTATGGGTTCAGTGAGATTGGGAGCGTGGAGGAAGTTGGGGGAGTGGCTGGGATACAGGTGAGCAGAGAGTGAGACTAATGGGACAGATGTGGGCAGACAAGATCCGAGCTCTTGGACTCCTCGGTCCCCTAGGGTGTGCGTACAGTGGTACTGGGTAGGGAGGACCTGAGGGTATGGGGCGGGCACAGTGGGGAGGTGGGAGCAGGGTGGACGTGGGGGTCTAAGTCACTGCCCAGTCTCTGCCTGCACAGGTCCCATGCTCCACAGCTTTGCCACTGTGAGCAGCATTAGGGAGGTAGGTCATGTCCTGGTGATACCACCCAGGGTCCCCTCAAAGAAAAGCCAGCCTACTGCCATGGCAAGCTGGGCATGCATGGTGCTAACACACATGACAAGGAGCTCTTGTGCCTGCTGACCTGCACCAGGCTTGGAACCACTACCCAGAGGAGGGGATGATGACCATGGGACCTGGGCTCCACTGGGGACCACCCTGTGCCCACTGCTCACTGCTTCAAGGTAGAAGGTGCTGGAGCCCACGAAGGAGACGGTGTCCTGTAGGTCATAGTTGCGCACACCATTCTGGTGGTCCTGGAAGGGGACCACAGTGAGGGCAAAGGGTCCCACGCTGCGGGGGCTCCGGTTGGTCAGCCGTACCTCAAGGCGCACGGGGTCACCCACAGGGCAGGCAGCTGCTGCATCGCAGTCACACAGCTGTCCATCCACCAGCACATCTGCAAGGACACAGGACAGTTAGGGGCTGCACCCAGCCCTAGCTTATTCCTCCCTTCCTTCGCCTGGTGAGGGTGCTGCTTTCCACAGCAGCCAGAGAGCTAAAGACATCTGTTTGTGCTGGTCCCTGCTCTTCTGAAACAGGGTCTGGCAGAGACAATCATGGGGTGGAGGATGTGGGGCAGCACCACCCTGCGGGAGCTGAGAAAGCCCTGAATAATTTGGGGTCTGTGCAGGCCTCTCAGACATGCCTGGAAGGTCCAAATTCTGGCCATGTCTCCCAGGCATTTCCCCCTGTCCAGAAGCCATAGGACTGGTACCAGGAAGAGTGCCCTGGGAAGGTGCCTGGCAGGGCGGGTGTCACCTGTTGGGTACCTGCCACTCCCTCACTTTTTATTAGTGCATAGGGTTATATAGAGTAGTGGATTTCATTCTGGTAAATTCGCATATGCATATAACATACTTTGATCATCTTTCCCATCATCCCTGTCCCACTCTACCCACCCAAGTTCCACAGTTTTGGAAGGGTTCAATGTGTATAACGTATTTTGATCAAATTCATGCCCATTACCTACCCTCCCACCCCCTCCCCTTCACACATGCTTTTTGATGCCCTCCTGCCTGAAGTTGGAGTCAGGGGAAGAGGCAGAGGCCAGTGAGGCTACGACCCAAAAAGCATCCCTGGCCAAGCCTGGGTCCACACGTGGGGACTCAGCATCTTCCGAAGAGGGCTGTGCTCTTACTCCCACCAACTTGAAGGGGTAAGGACAGCAGGAGGCTGGGATAACAGGGATTGTGGTTGGTCTGAGGCATGGGGTAGCGGGGGCAAGGTTGATCATGAGAAGCAGCTTTTCTCCTGCCTCAGGGTGCACAGATTCCCCTGCCCAGTTCCCATGCCAGTCACTCAGAGCCAAGGGGCCTGCAGTGGGGTTGGCAGGGGTTGGGGCTGCCCCAAGCCTCATGCTATGCCAAGCGTCTGGGAATTCCTGGGCTAGAAGGGGAAGATGGCAGAGACCAGGAAAGTGAGGAGTGGCCACCAGAGAGACCAGATGTAAAGGGTGCAGGCCTTTTGTTGCCCCACGGCCTGTCCCTAGTCATATCCTCAAGCTTCCCCTGGTAGAAAACCCACCCTGTGCCCACCCCTACAGTCACACAGCTGGCAGGTCCCATGCCCACCCCTATCTACATGGCACAGCCTTGGGGGACTAGCTGTACTGGACCTAGAAGAGGCTGCAAGGATCTTTCAGTGGCATCATTCACCTCAACATTTCCTGCCAGCCACCTCTCCCTGCTACACCTGTAGCCAACATGACCAGGAGCTCAGACACAAAGAAAGGCAGGAGTTGAAAAAGCTCACAACCCAGTGAGAGAAGGTGTGGTCAGCCAAGGGTTGGGCCACTCTGAGACTTTGCAGTGACAGATCACCTGGGGTGCTTACTAAGGGGCCTAGAGGCAGAATCCTTCAGCCCAGTGCAAGCGCAGGGATGGCATCAGGAACACACCTTTCTGTTTTTCACTGTAATTTTAAGGCTATGATTTGCCCTCAACACTCTGCTTTTGCTGCATCTTGCACCTCTGCATGCACAAAACCTGTGAGCTATGTCAGGCTAGGCTAGGACCTGCCTAAGGGCTTGAGTGGCTGCTCCCCAGCCATCTGGAGTGCACCTAGCATCCTCAGAAGTGCTGGGCACACAACAAGCAGCACAGAATGGTCTGTTAGTTCTACTAGCTACTTCATTCTGCTGAGCTTAGAGGTAAGATCCAAACCACTTGAGCGTGACCTGGGCTGTGGAGTCCAAGGCATGTCCCTACATGTCCTAGGGCTCAATTCCCTTTGCTGTCAAATGGAGCTGACACCAACAACAATGTTGAGCTGAGACAATGTGACTGACATGATATATGGCCCCATTAGCCACAGTGTGAGACAGATGTACACCTGGATGCTAAAAAAGCTCCTCTGGAGGGGCTCATTTGTGCCATCATCCCAGCTCCCATCTGGGCACATGGTGAGCAAGAGACATGAGTCCTGACTGCCAGCAGCATAGTCACTTTTGTCCCCAGCCTCAGTTTCCCCATGTGTGACATGTGACCCAACACAGGGAAATGGCCATCAGCCCTTGACTGCTCTCCCTCTTCCACCTCTGCTCAATACGGGCCAGGCCTCAGGAAATGTTTCGCAAACGGTGAACCCACTAGGCGAGGTCTGAACCTTGAGAATAAAATGGGGGACAATAGAGAGAGCAGATGTCATGCAGCCTCGGTGGCTGGTTCCATTAAGGGAAAGATACGATTATGTGCAAATCAGTGAAGGGTGACTGGCTCATTACATCTCTGCTGTCCTTTCTTCCCTGCCCCCCCAGCTAGCAGAGAACTGTGTGGGCTGTTAGGGCAGCCAGGACTGGCTCATCTGCCCAGACGCCCCTGCCTGCCCTGGGTTAACCCTTCCCAGCCCAGGCCAATGGAAGACAAGGCCAATGGAAGACAAGGCCAATGGAACTTCCCAGCCAGCTGTCCATGCAGCTGCTTCTCCCTGTGAACACAGCTCCTTTAGAATCTTTCTTTGCCTTTTCTCTCAAGGAGGAAAAGGAGGGACTTGGCACCTGAGGCCAAGCCAGGCAGCAGGGTCTAGGGTAGGGCTGACGTAGCCAAGCAGGAGGCTAAGCTGGGCCTTGGGCTCACCTCTGCAGTATCATTCTGATGGGTGGTAACCTCTCTAACTCATCTGTGAGCCCAGTACACTGACCTGCCAGGCTGGGAGAAGGACGAGGGTCAGAAAGGAATGTAGTGGAGCTATAACTCACATACCACACAACCCACCTACCAAAAGTTTACAGTTCAGTAGCTTTTAGTATATCCACAGGTATGTACAACCACCATCACCTTCAGAACAATTTCATCATTTCTAACAGAAACCTGGGATGATTTAGGCCACTCTGGCCCTGTTTCCCTCCAGCCTAACTCTAGATTTCCCTACTCTGGACTTTCCTATGAACAGAATCATATAGTGTGCAATCCTCTGTGGCTGGCATCTTCCACTTAGCACAATGTTTCTAGGTCTATCTGTGTGGTGGTGTGTGTTGTGCCCTCCTCCTTTCTAGAACGTCACCACACTCCATAGCATGCAGGTGCCTTCACATGCATTAGTTGATGGACATTCATTCTCCACCTTGTTCTGTTCTGGGCAATGCTACAGTGAACTCAGGTTGATGTGGATGGAGGTTACCATCTCAGAGGGTACATAGCTGACTGTATACTTGCTGGGTCAGTTGCAGCTCTGATTAGCACAGCCACTGCAGGCCAGCTTCCCATCGAGCTCCCACCCCCAGCAGCACGCGTGAATGTATGGCCCCTCCTTCCCTTCCACAATTCATGTTCAAATGTGTTCCTTTGGCACTGGCCATTCTGGTGGGGATGAGGGGTATGGTGTGTGGCTTTTACTTGCACCGCCCGGACATCCCTCTGTGTGCCCAGCCTAGCCCTAATGACAGGCTCCCTGGCCTCCACCAGCCTGGGCAGGAATTGAGGTTGGCCTTGGGTGCATGCTCCTGTACAGCACTGTGAGTACCTGGTAGGATTCTGAGCCACCCACTCTTCGGGGGCTCCCCCAGTGGGCTGTGGTTGAAAGGTTTGCCCTCAAGCAGATGTGTTCAGGGGCCACCAGACAGGGTCAGGACCAGCAGACTCTGGGCAAATCACAGGACAAGAGGAGGCCATAGGTGACAAGCAAGAGGACACGGGGATTACAAGGGGACACAGAGATTACAGAGCCAAGAGGCGGGGCAGGTATACATGATCCTGAGGACTAAGGGTCAGCCAATCTGGCCTGGGCCCCACAGCACCTGAAGCTGTGTTGCCTGTCTGGGCTGGGCTGAGTGGGGGGTCGGGCCCTTGTGCCATGTAGGAGATGGATGCCACATGGGTGTGTCCGTGGGGAGAGGACAGCCAAGCTGCAGTAGCAGTTCTAAGCCACAGCACACTCGAGAGTCTGGCTTGGCTGCATCTGGAGGATCCAGTTTTCTTATCTAGCGTGGTGCTTCTGATATGCGTGCCTGACATAGGACCAAGGCACATGCCATCTCTCACTCAGAGTGCGCAATGGGAAGGTCAAGAGAGGGAATAGCGGCTCCTCCTCCACCCAGATGCACCTCCAGCTTCCTCAGGAGGTTGAAGGAAATGTCTAAAATCTCAGCCGGCCCCCGGGGGTGTATGCAAATCACCTTTCGCAGGCGAAGAGGAATGGCCTGTGTTTTCTTGTCCCCCTGACTTATCCACCTCTTTCAGACACAGCTCTCCAGACCAGCACAGAGTTCATTTTTCCTCCAGAATGCCAAATCTTAGCTAGGCTGTCCTCTCTGCCTTGCCCCATCTCCACTGTCCCGCCTTTGGTGACCAGGGAAGGTCAGGATCTGCTAGTTGACTTTCAAGGCGAATGTCAAACTGGGTTTAAAAATGCAGACTTAGGAACCACGTGGTAGAAGAAACGATCCGTCAGAAGAATCCAGTGTTCAGGGTCCTACCAATCCTGCTCTAGCTGAAGCATATTTAAAATTTAAGTTCCAGAAGACACGCATATGCTTTTTTAGTTTACAGGAATCTTGGGTGATCTTAAATTTTAGAGTCAAATTTGATTCAGAGAAAGCTTGGCTTTGAAATTGGCCAGGTAACTTTGTCACTCTCTAGATGAATGAACAGAAGTTCATAAGGAAAGAAGTAGCTACTCCTCAGTATGTGAGATGGGAGCTAAGCAGAGGGGTCGCAGGCTATTGGTTTCCACACTCCAATGACACTGCCAACTGTCCTGGGGAAGCACTAGCAGATTTAGTATAAAATCCTGTAATTTCCACTTTCCCAGGAAAAGTCGGTATGCTTTAACGCTAAGGTAGCTAGCTGCTAGGTGCTCAATTAGCCAACTTGCAGGCTTTCCTGGTTACCAATGAAAGCCAAGGAACTGGCCTTTTCACTCTGGTGATTAGGAAGCCCAGAAGCAGACATTTATCAACTC